ATATATAACATATCTGATATGTTATACATATTCTGACAGGGTCAGAAACAGCAGAAGGAAAAAGGCAGGCAGACAGAGCAGCGAAGGATGTAGCGGGATACACCGGGGCCAGACAGATGATGACAGTGGAAGAAGAGTGTCAGCAAGACAGCTATTGGGGAGGAGCAGAAGTTCAGAAAGCACAAGAGAAGGCCTCTCCTGAGGAAAAGTCTTTGTGGAAGAGAAAAGGGGGTATGATTGATGAGGAAGATGGTTTGTGGAAGGGACCGCAGAATAGATGGATTTTGCCAATGACATTGTGGGAAAAAGTTTTTCAGGAAGCTCATGGTTTGGGTCATGTTGGGGTAAAATAGATGGAGAAAAATGTTGAACAATGGTGGCACCCTCACATGAAAGACATGATGGCTAATCATGTAGCAACTTGTGATATTTGTACCACTTATAATGCCAGGCCAACAATCAAACCAGAACTGGGATTTTTCCCTTTGCTTTTCAGACCAGGACAGGAAATCATAGATTACACAGACATGGGAGAATCAGTCAGAGGACATAAGTATATATTGATGTGTGTTGACACTTTCACAGGGTGGCCAGAGGCCTTACCTGCAAAAAAGGAAGACAGCAAACAGTTGTAAAGTTCCTGATAAATCACTATATCCCGAGGCATGGTTTTCCTGAAAAAATCAGATCRGATAATGGCACTCATTTTAAAAACGCAGACCTGCAGGCTGTGGAAAAAATGGTAGGCTTAAAACATGCCTTTGGAACAGTTTACCATCCTCAATCACAAGGAAAAGTTGAAAGAATGAATCAAAATGTCAAACAAAAATTGGGAAAAATCTGTGCACKGACAAAATTAAATTGGCTTGATGCATTACCAATAGCATTAATGACTATAAGAGCMTCTATTAATAATGGCACTGGTTTTACACCTTATGAGTTAATTACAGGTAGACCATTCCCGGGACCGCAGGCCAGCGTCCACACCTCCGAGAAGAATCCTAAGGTTGACCATAAGGTATATTTTGATGAGTTGAAAGCATTGGTGTCTTACTTTACTCAGCAGGTCCACGGCAAACACAGCCCCCTGGGAGAACCCACCTTGCCAACCGCTGAGTGGGTGTTGTTGAGGGTGATTAAAAGGAAGTGGCCAGAACCGCGCTGGACCGGTCCCTACCACGTAACTGAGAGAACATCCCATGCCGTCCGCCTGAAAGGAAAGGGGGACACCTGGTACCACTGGAGTCAGTGCGCGCCAGCTAAGGAGCCAGGCAGAAATCTGACGGACACGGCCGAGGACCTCAAACTCGTAAACTGAACCGTGTCTTTTGCTTGGTAGACCAAAACAGCCGAGTTAAGTTGCGTGRGGGCTCAGAAGGACTCTGTTAAATTGGGCCACTCGGTGTTGGAATATTCACACATAGCACAGACATCTCCCCCGATAAAAAACACTACATTTTAGTCTACATTACATGAAGAAAACTTGGTGGCTTAGGAGGAATCAATACCCCCAAGCAACGCCAGGGGAATGCTCCTGTGTACGTGTGGCACATTCTAAAAGTAATATTTTCTGTCTTGTTTTTGCATTGAAATTTTGAATTATTTTGCTTGCTTTTTAGGAGACAGTCGGTCTGGTGAAGAACGCTGCTGTGTGGGTTACAAAAGTAGTGTTTAGAGCTAACTAGTTTAGTTTACTTTATATTCTGATAATTTGTTTATTATAAGTTTTTACTATATTTGGTATTTTGACGTAGTTTGTGATTTTTATATAAGGAGAGAGAATGATTGTTGGACAGTGGATGAAGATGACCCTGGGAGCAGGTTCTTTGTTAGCGGTGATGATCTCTGTTATCTTTGCGCTAGAATGGTTTTGTGTGATCCCAGGTGGTAGTCAGTGCGGTGAGGAGCGTGGTAAGCGAGAATATGTAGTCAAGAGTGGGTACAGGGCTTTGAAGCTGACTTATGTTAAGGGTAGTAGTACTACTTTCACCTTTGATCTGTGCGAAGTCATTCAATGTGGTAACAAAAACGCCTCTTACAGACATGTAAACATATATGTTTGTCCATGTGTGTGTTATGATCTCCGTGATTGTGGAGCAAAGTATGGTAATTGTGGATGTTGCTACATTCTATGTATGAGGTAATTGTCTCTTAGATTAATCTCGACAGCCCTAGAGAGACAGGATCCAGCTGTAACACGTCAGATGCTCATGAGGGTAGCATCATCAGTCGACAATAGGGACGCTCTTCTGACAGAAACCTCCCTCCCTCTGCTAAGGTTTCGCAGTGTTGTGTGATTAGAGCTTTGTCTGGTGTGGACCTCTTGATGAGAGGTCCAGAGTGGGATTGTTGAAGTAAACAGTTTTATAATCAATTATATGCTTTGTTTACTTATTAGTGTTATGATCAAACTTAGGTATTGTTTAGTTTTATAATTGGATTTAGGTATTGTTCACTCTTAAGTTCTATTAACAACATTAGTATTGTTCACTTTTGCATGAAGTTTGTTTAGCGGTATTTTGTGTTAAGCAGCTGAAGACACATTGTATTCATTGTTGTATGGACGAGCTGAGTGTCCTCCCTATGAGCTGCTGAAGTGGAGCAGGTTCTGACAAGCAGATGATGAGTTGCAGACGGGATGAGGG